GTTTTAATTAAAATTCAAAACACTAATACATCAATGTTCATATTTGCTTGTCAGAAAGCACATTTTTCCCCTCTATGTTAATCCAAATACTGGTTTATAGAAACAAGGCCCACTTGAAGCTTAATCTTTTCCACACTTGGGGTTCCTAAAAGAAACTGCTAGAGAAGAAAACACAATTTTCCTCTACAGTCAGGTGTAAGGTCTTCAGGTTTTCTCTAAGCAGACTGACTTTAGAAAGAAACACTGTATCCATTTATATCTTACAATATTTTAAATTCCAGTGCATTTAAAACGCGGCGTTTCACGGACAACATGTCAAGCTTTCTGTTTGGAAGGTCTCAAAAGACTGCATTACAGTGTGTGGCATAAAAGGCCTGCTTTATGGCAGAGGACTGGTTTTGCCACCAACGACAATGCACCTGCACATGCAGTCAGTTTCTGGCAATAAAAACCCAGCATGCCTCTCTTGCCCCACATACCTTACTCACCTGACCTCACTCCAAGAGACTTCTTTTTGTTTCTGTGAAAGCAGAGGGACATGAAAGGACAGAGATTTGAGGACATAAAAGAGGTGAAGAAAAATGAGCGTGGTGCGTCAGCCATCCCAACAGATGAGTTTGAAAAATGTTTCCAAAAATGGAATCACAGATTTGACAAATGTATTCAGTGTAATGGAGAGTACGTTGAAGGTGATATGGTTACTTTGTAAAAATAATTTAAATACATAGCTCTGAAAAAAAAAATCTGGGTTATTTTGGGGGGTACCCCTTGTGCACTAGACTGCTAACTACAAGGTCAATGGTTCAAACCCACCAGTTGCTTTGTGGGACAAACATGAGGCTATCTGTTCCCATCAAGATTTATAGTTTCGGAAACCACACGTAGGGTACATATGATTGGGAATCAATTTGATGGTGGGTTTGCTCCCTGAAACAACACAGATGATAAGCTGGTGACCTGAGATAAATAAAGGTGAGTAAACAGAGTAGTAATATAATTCTATAGAGAATCCAGATATTACTAAGCAGAAAAATTGAAGAAATAATTTGTAAGCACTTAGAAACAAACACAAGTTGACTAAAAATGAAATATATGTTTTCTACAATTATCTGAAACCAAATTCAGGAGGTTTGTTTTACTAATGTAACTAGATAGGTAGATGCAGTACAATGTTTCAGCATATGAAGTGTTGGGAAAATAAAACATTGGCAGTGTTTCATTAATAAATATGTTGCAATATATGCATACAATGTTTCATTCTAGGAGATGCAGAAGAAAAGTGTGTTGATAATCCCTGAAGCAAAACATAACAAAAATTGGTTAACTACAGGCAATCCAGTGTGTTCTCAACAATTACAAAATATATCTTTTTCTGCAGAGTACATCCATGTGGCTCATAGAAGACTATTTTCAAAATCTACCTGTGATTCACACAAATGTTTGACAAAGTTTTTCTCTCTCCCTCTCTCTATATGCACATTTATATTTAAATATTTTAAAAACTATGTGTATTTACAGAACTATAGGGAGCTAGGTGGGTTTGTTAAGTGATAAAAGGGAAATTGAAAATATTGAAATAAGCCAATACTGATTTGACAAGTTTTTTTGGACGTCACCGAGTTCTGTCAGTGGGAGAGTGGATCTGAAGCAGGACTCGAAAGACAGGAAACTTCTAGAGCTCATGCTATTTCTCATTAGCCCAGAAAAAGATCCTGGCCTCCTCTTTCATCAGTTTGTACACCTGTAACAGTAAGATGTGAAAATAATATGTGTTATTTTTCACTTTGTGCTTGGCTCACTAAATGGCAGTACTCATCATCGTTACCTTTTTTCCTCACTTTATATCTTTTATAAGTGGGGGATGCTTGTGGAATTTCATTTCTATTCTTATTCACAGCAGAATGTAACTTTGGAAGTAAGTACAAAAAGGAGCAAAAAAGTATTTGAGGTCAGTTTTGTAGGGGAGGTAGTCCATTTTTACTATCGTGTTCTGTGATTCAGGTATCTTCCTTGTCTGAAGGATGTGAATTTTGTTGAAACATCTTCCTTATTTCTAGTTTCAAATCTGCCCAAATGTGAGCAGATAGGGTCCTTGTGTTAGTCTGGGTAGAATGGAGAAACAAATTCAAGGACACTCTCATACGTATAGGAAAGAGCTTTATATACAACAGCAGTTTAATATTGAAAAATATCCCAGCCCAGTCCAGATCAAATCCATAAGTCCAATATTAGCCCATATGTCCTATGCCAATCTATAAAGTCCTCTTCAGACTCACAAAACACATGCAATGATGACGAATGCAGGAAGGTCCCAGACCAGTGGCTTGGAAGTCTTGTGAATCCAGTGGTGGTAGAAGCATCCCAGCACTGACAGGGGTCTCCACATGCATCCTCCAGTTCCCAGGGCACAGGGTTTTGTTTTGAGAAGCAGGCCTTTGTTTTGTGGCACACTGTTATGCAATCTTTTCAGAACCTCTAAATAGAAAGCTTGATAAACAGTCTGACCTAGTGGAAGGAACTCCAAATGTACTAAGGTCGACATTTTCATCTTTTGGGGAAGTTGGCGGATGTCCAGAACAAGATTTGTTATCAATCAACATTTCACCTTTTTTGAAAGGAGAAAATCACTCATACACTTGAGTTTTTCCCATAGCCCTGTTCTTGTAAGCTGTGTTCAACATCACAACAGTTTCTGTGGCATGGTTTCTGAGAGGGAACAAAATTTCACACCCGCATGCTATTCTCTTAAATTGGCCATCACAAAAAATGAGGTTGGAGTGAATCTGCTTCTAGGAAAAAAAAATCACTGTAACCAGAGAGCACCTTCCCAGGTATGCCCCTGGGTGCATGAACACAGAGCTGAGTAGCTTGATACTCACCTAGTGGGAACAATGTGTACTAGGAAGGCTTAACTCTGCCCAGGGCAATTCCAGGTTTTCTGGGTACCTCCTCATATACTGAATGAGAATCTACATTTTAATAAGATCCCTCTTGATTCTTTTAGATACTGAGATGAATCTTATTTGCACATAAGAATATATGTGCATAGATGTAGTTTCTGATTCAGTGTATCTGGGATGGAAAGGTGAACTCTCTGCAGGGAACAGACGAGAATGAACCTGTTGAAAGCTCTACATGGCAGCAGATAGTCCATGAGCTTCCATAAGGCTCACCTTCCTGACACGATCGTTGAAGACAAATGGGTGCCTAAGTAAATGTGGTGAAGAAAGCTGGTGGTGCCCAGCTATCCAAAGATATAGCATTTGGGGTTTTAAAGGCTTGAAGATAAATAAGCGGCCATCTGGCTGAGAAGCAACAAAGCCCACATGGAGGAAGCACACCAGCCTGTGTGATCATGAGGTGCTGAAGGGATCAGTTATCAGGCATCAAAGAACAAAAAATCATATCATTGTGAATGAGGGGAAGTGTGGAGTTGGGACCCAAAGCCCATCAGTAGGCAACTGGACATCCCCTTGCAGAAGGTTCATGGGGAGGAGATGAGCCAGTCAGGGTGCAGTATAGTAATGATGAAACATACAACTTCCCTTTAGCCCTTTAATGCTCCCCACCCCCACCCGCCACTATCATGATCCCAATTCTGCTTTACAAATCTGGCTAGACCAGAAGTTGTACACTGGTACAGATAAGAACTGGAAACACAGGGAATCCAGGACAGATAAACCCCTCAGGACCAATCATGAGTGTGGTGACACCAGGAGGGGTAAGAGGAAGGTGTGGTAGGAAGGGGGACCAATGAAAGGATCTACATGGAATCCCCTCCCTGGAGGATGGACAACAGAAAAGTGGGTAAAGGGAGATGTCGGACAATGTAAAACATGACACAATTATAAATTATCAAGGGTTTTTTTGGGGGGAGGGGTGCTTGGGGAGGGAGGGGAAAAGTGAGCAGCTGATGCCCAGGGCTCTAGTGGAGAGCAAATGTTTTGGGAATGATGATGGCAACAAGTGTACAAATGTGCTTGACACAATTGATGGATGTATGGATTGTGGTAAGAGTTTCATGAGCCCCCCAATAAAATGATTTTAAAAAGAAAAAAAAGAGTCCATGAGCATAGGAAGAGGCTGAGGAACTTATTTATAAGTTTGCATTTAGAAACATAATTAAAACAATAATCTGAGTTCGTTTTATAAGTCATCACATATTTTATTACTAGATAATAGTATTTAAATCGTGAGTCAATAGACCAAATGTCTTAGAGAAAATGTGTGGAGAGTTGTTTATTTCAAAGAATGCTCATTTTAAGATTAGAAGCACATTATTAAGCTGCAATGGGTGAAAGGAAACGTACTTGCTAGAGGATTTAACAAAAAAATATCATTATGATAGATGGGATGTTGATCTTAGGGAAAGGATATTTAAGGTAACAATGCTGAGCTAATGGCAAAATTTTCTTGAAAAGTAGCGAGGATTGAATGCATTGCATGATAAACTGTTATTGTTTAACGGATATGAGACTTTAAAAAATGTACTAATCTATTTGCTAATCTCTTTCCTCACTTTATTCCCTCATTACCAATAAATAGCTGCGTACCTTCCAGGAGAAACAAAATAAAATATGTAGGCGAGACCACCACAGAGGGCTAATAATTTCATAGCAGCAGCGGCCAACTTCAATCACCATGTAAATCTATAGGCGTCCGCTGCTCCCGTTCAAAATGTTAACCCATTGCTAGGTTTCACACACATTCACACCTATCACTCATGAATATGAGCCCCAAATAAATCTCTCGCTGATTGATCCTTTCCTTTTCTTTCAATGGTTATATACTTTCTTTTAATAAAGGAAAGTCTGTCATTCAGAATCAAGAAAATCTCAATCTTCACCTATCCCATGAAGGAAACATTCGATCGATAGAACATAAGGTTGGATATTCCATCAAGCCAGCTTCAGTGCCAACCTCAGTGATGTAGCTGGTGTGGGATGTAGTACAATCTGGGTTCCTAAGGAGAACAGGGGTCAGTGGGGTCGTGCACTTACCTTGAATTAGCCACCAAAGACGTTTTCAAACACAGTCCCTGGCCTGAAGAAGTTCCAAACCTATTTGAAAAATAGAAAGCAAGATTTATTTTTTAAAACATTTGAAACCCCAAAGTGTCTTCATGGATCCCTGGGTGGTGCTATTGGTATGCTCTTGACGACTAGCTGAAAGGTTCGTCTCCTCAGAAGACAGGGATGAAGATGGGCTTCCATAAGATCACAGCCTTGCAAACCCCAGGACGCAGTTCCCCTCTAGCCACGTGACTCGGAATAGAGTAGTAGACAGCTTACAAAAAGACAAACCAAACCAAACGAACAGCTCCTTGGTTTACATAGGAGAAAGCAGGGAACATTGGCTACTCCTTTGTTTTGACATGGGACCATCATGCTCCCCAGGAAAAGGGGAAACTGTCTTTCATCAAGTCCACTAACCGGCTTAGTTCACTGCTTCCTGAGAATACATTCCAGAGTCTTCGCCCTTTGGCTTTTCTAAAACCAGAGCCTTATGTTGTTAAGGGCATCACATAAAAGCTCGCAGTCAAGTTAAAACAAACTTTTTCTCTGTCCTTCTCATCCTTGGAATATCCAGCAAGGACGAAATATGATATGTCTAAATATTATATATGTAAAGACATCTTATTATGAATTTATCAAACTCCACACCTCAGAAATCTATAAAAAGACATGTCTTCCTTCTTCACTATCATCATTGGACAAGGGCGGAAGCCTTGTTTGCTGTTAGAATAGCTTCTTCCGGAGAGAAAACTCTCTTTTCCGCCTTTTAGCGCATCAACGGCTATTCTTTCTTTAGCTCCCAGTGAGGCTGTGCTCTTACGCAAGCTTCCTCGCCTCCTGCCTCCTCCAAGCTTCCACTAAAGGGATTCCCTAGATCTTCCCACAGCTCTGTGCACTTCCTTTCATTTGTTGTCACACTGCCTTGCGTTGCTGGAACCTGCTAGATGCTCATCAAGCGGGTTCTCTTTTCCTGGGGGTACACAGCCCGTCTTTTGTTGTGCGGTGTGGTGGTGTCAGATCTGACCCACGGGGACCCTTTGGTGCAGCCACTGTTTCATGGTAGGTCGGCTTCTTTTTCCATCTCCTTGAGGGCCTGCCTCTTTATTTCTGACCCTCCACTTTACCAAACATGATGTTCTTCTGCAGGGCCTGGGCCCTCTGCATAGCATGTCCCAAAACTGTGAGGTTAAGTCTTGCCAGCCTGGCTTCTAGGGAGCATTCTGACTGTGCTTTAGCCGACACCAATGTGTTCATTCTTTGGGAAGTTCATGGAATACCTCTTATTCAAAGGCATTCTTCTGGAAGTTCATACACTATTTGATATTACAAGTTCTCTCTGCTCCAAGGTCACTGTGCCAGCCAAGAGGGAACTGTTTGAATCAGGTCAAGCTGGTTTGAAGATCTGATTCAAACACACTAAAGATGACAAAGATGGCACAAGGCCGGACACCATTTTGCACTGTTAATACAAATGTTTGCTGTGCATCAAAGCCAAGCTGACGACTAATGAAAACAACAACATATGCTCCAGAGTTTCCCAACAACCAAATGAAAAGTTAACCTGCTAAGCCATCCAAAGAGGAGATGCTTTTATAGCCCGAGCCCATCCAGACACCTGGTGACGCTGTGCTTTGGGGTTACAGCTCGTGCATCAGAATGTAAACCATACATACACTCCCTCGGGTATTGATTGGGTATGTCTCATTCACAGGCTCATTCAAGCCCCTCGACCACTTTATGGCATATCATGACCATCTCTCTCTCTCTTTTAATAATTCAAAATTTAGTTGATATTTCACAGGAAATATGATTCAAAACCGTTGTTCCTTTGGGAGGATACATAGAGCACAGTCATTTCGCACAGGCTTCAAAGTAGCTCTTGATAAATACCTTTAGGGCACACTCTGATTTTGCTGAGGAGCTCATAGCCATGGAACCCGCTCTGCATTTTTGCAAACCTGTTTGCACAGGTTTCTGTGTGCCGTCTTTGGTCAGGTGGGCAGAGGTATTATAAAGGCCTCGTCGGGAGGAAGGGGCCCACAGGCTCCTCACTGCAGTGGCGGTGATTTGCAATGTCCTTCCCGCCTCCACTGTGGGTTTAATGCCAATGGAGAGAAAATGAAAGGTAATTTTCTTTCTTTCTCAAAACAATAACCAATCACGGAACCTAAGACCTTCTGCTCTTCCCATATTACAATGAAATAGCTTTTGAAGTTTAGACAAAAATAGCGACATCTGACAGGCAATATCAAGTCCCAGCCATTGTGCTGCCACGTATCCATGGCTGACTTGTCTCTGTACCTCGCTTGCTCTGACAGTCACAATCACTATATCCACTGATTCTTTTAGGCCACCACCTGCTTGAGGCCGTTCCCAAAGGTGCTTCATAAATCTCACCCACCTGTCACTTCCCCATCATGGACTGGCTAGATCCATTTAGTCTTGTTTGGCAGAAGTTAGCTTTCTGAGATTCGCTTCTTTTACTTTCTGTCCTCGCTAGTTAAAGGAAATGAGATGCCAAGAAAGCCTTTCCTGAAAGATGTGGGAGTCTCGTTGGATCTGTAGAGAATTCTCTCTCAGTGTCCCACACAGCATTTGGGTTGTTGCTGTGGGTACTATTCGCTCGATTTCATGGGGGCTTTGCAACACCCATTGCTCCCTCACATCGATATTGACATCGACTTCACCTTGACAAACCATTTCTCTGTTTAATGTCAGGAAAATGCAGATTAGATTTACCAGTGAGCCATTTCTTGACGTTTTTTATTGTAGCCCATAGATGTTAAGAAACGATTTTAAAGGTTGAGGAGCATGGGTTCACAATTTGAAGAGGGTGGGCAGTGTCATTGAATTATATCTGCAGAAATTGTTGATACAGCACCTCTTTTGAAGGAAGGAAGGAGGAAAGGAGAGAGGGGGGAAATATTCTAAGTCATGTTTAAAAAGTTTTAAGAACATTTGAAGCTATCAATGAACTTTGTCCAAACATATTTTCCCTGCACACAAATAACAGATATCTCAGACACACTTTTTCCATGGTGCTCCTTGATTCAGAACACCAGTTTTGTTTTTGAGTTTAGCTTTCAAGGGATTACCTGGAATCAACTCACAAAGACTCTAATCCAGAGTCAAGTGGATCTTAAACCATTACTATGTTTGCTGATGTAGTGTTTTAGGTGATGCAGGGCACTAGTCGAATGAGAGATTAGCAACTGAAGAGCAAAAACAAGAATAGCAATGAAAACTTTCAAACACTTCTTTATGAAAGAGAAGGGAAGTGTTCCGATGAAATATCTTTAGTGTGTAATTTTGAGCTACTTTAAAGGGTCATATTGCTGATGTTAATGTAGACTGTTAAAATGACTCCTCATTTTGGTAACCAGTTTCGTAGGCTTTGGGCTTGTTTTTCTGGTATTTTAAAAAGAATAAGATTAACAACAGGAAGATATATAGCAGTTGATTATTTTTCACTTTTTAAAAACAGAAACCTACAAGTTTTTAAAAACACTCCCAATTCAGACTCACAGCAACTCTATAGGACAGGATAGAATTGCCCCTATGGGTTTCTGAGACTGTAAATTTTTTTTAAACAGGAAGCTCTAAATTCTCTATGAACCCCCCTGAAACCACAACCCCAAGACTGTAAATCTTTATGGGAGTAGAAAGTGTCATCTTTACTTTAAGAAGCTGCTGGTGACGTCCAACTGCTGGCTTTACAGTTAGCAGCCCAGTGCAGAACCCACTGCACCACCACGATGCAGGTTTGTAGCGAATTTCTAATTTGCATAGAGGAGTTAAAAGCATCTCACTAGAGCAGTGGTTCATAACCTTCCTAATGCTGCGGCCCTTTCATCCAGTTCCTCATGTGGTATTGACCCCCAACCATACAATTATTTTAGTTGCTACTTCATAACTGTCATTTTGCTACTGTGATGAATCATAATGTAAATATCTGATATGTAGGATGTATTTTCATTATTACAAATTGAACATAATTAACACATAGTGATTAATCACAAAACAATATGTAATTATATATTGTGAAAAATTTATGTGTTTTCCGATGGCCTTAGGCAACCCCTGTGAAAGGGTTGGTTGACCCCAAAGGGGTTGTGACTCACAGGTTCAGAACCTCTGTATGATACCATTCAGATTATAGTTTAGATTTTCTTTTGAATTAATGTTTTTGTGTGAGAAATGTTTTAATTAAAATCTGCCTATTGTAGATATTAGATTCACGTGGCCTTACTGAAACCTAGAATTTTTCATGTTGTGGCAGGCAAGCACAAAACCCAACTCACGGCCACCCTATCGAATCTGACTCAAGGTAACCACATATAGGGCTGTTCTTCACCTTCCTTCTTGCTTGGATTCTTTGTCTGCCTCCAGGGGTGGCCCCATCTGGGCCACTAACAGCACCATCCCATGATGCCACCTGCCTGCACCCACTGGCCTTGACCTCCCTGCTTCCCACTGCCCTTGCTTGCGCATCATCAGCCTGCAGCAATGTGGATCTGAAGAGGGTCCTGGCTAGCAGTGACTCCATGGACGTGAGTTGGGTGGAGCTGAGCGTACCTTCTTCATACAAAGTCCTTCCTTCCACGAAGGTGAGTGTCATGGTTTTGTTTCTCTAGACAGACCAGCCTGACCAGACAGACCAGCAAACATTCAGGAGAAACTAACTTTGAAGTCACAACAGGGGCACGTCCCCTCTTGTAGCAGGGAAAGCTGGAGAGTTCACCTTGAAGCTTTCCTTTGTCAAACAGGTTTGGCTTCTGGGGTGACGTAAAGCTTGGCTTCTTGTCCTTTCTCTTTATGTTTTTTCTTCTCCTTTCCCCAGTGTCAGGCTTTTTATATTTCCTTTGATGGATTCAGCCGCTTGGGGCTTTGTTAGTGGAACAGTAACAGCCACACCACAAACCCGTCTTCACTGGCATCTTAACAAAGACACCCAAGCCGAGACGGTGTGACCATGAGATTTCAAACTTAGGGACAGTTATTCTAGAAGGATGGTGATTACTGGAAGTGTTCCTACCACACATGTA